GTCTATAGTACATTAGAGTACAAGGGGAGGGCTGGTCCTAGGAGATATCCCATATGGATTGTAGCACTTGGTACCTTGGTACTAGTATATAAGGAAAGGGTTGGCATGGGAAGAATTATCTCATACCACACTCTATTTGTTATAGTGCAACCTTGCTGGTCCTAACTTACTTGAATGGAGTATGCTTTCTATGTTTCAATAGTTTCTAGAACCTTCTAGAAAGAAGTCTCTAGAAACTTCCAGAAGATTCCTTGAATATTTTCTTAGAATATTCTTCAAAGATTCCCTAAAGATTCTTTGAAGATTCTCTAAAGATTCCCTTAGAAGGCTCTAGAAGATTCTTAGAATATTCTAGTAGATTCTAGGAAGTTACTTGAGAAGCTTCCTAGCTCTTAGGTAGTTGCTCGAGAAGCTTCATAGTTCTTGGGAAGTTTCTTGATGCGCTTCCTTAGAACCATAGGCCAGTAGTATATATAGGAGTCGAGGCTGAAGAATTCTTCAGTTTCGACAACACATCTCTTGGAGTTCTAGCTCACCTTTCTGGTGTTGTTCTTGTACTCATCTGTTTAATCTAGTTCTGTCACTTCTTCTTGAACTTCTTATTAGATTTCAAGTCTGTATTTTGTGTCGGTGACAGATTCAAAGAATTACATAGAAGTAAATAGAAATAAATGAATTTCATAATATCTTGTGGATTTGACTTTATATATGTTTGTAGTTGGTTGTTAGGTTTGAAAATTTGGCTAATAAGTTTGGCATATATTGCACATATTGGTAACTTATGGTACAAATTAGCCATATAGAGTATACATTAAAAATAAAAATAAAAAATAAAAAATAAAAAATCTTATAAATTAGATAATTATTTTATAAGTTAGACACATATTAGACGTCCTATAAAATGTTGTCATGTGGCTCCTACTTAAATAGTGTATATGGACACAAGAATTAGGCTTTCTTCACTCTTATCGATATCTATTTTATTCTTAATCTTGTTTCAAGCATCTTTAATCTTTGGCAATAATTATTTTAGTCTTAATATTATATCATCTTATAGTACTTATTCATTCTTTTTTTATGACAAAAAAATATACTGATTCTTTGATTCTTTGTGATTCATATCCTTGATGTTTCAAAGTTCAAGACTCTTAATATTGGTTGATAGCTTCAAATCATTTAATTAATTAATTTATTTATTTATTTTAATGAAATACAAGTCTTTTAACTTTTCTTATAGATGATTTGATAATCTATAATTTTTAAATTTTTCTTTGTATGCCAAAATCTACATCTTATAAAAATATTTTTCATCACCCTCCTCTTCATGATAGGTTTCTATTTAAAAGATAGTTGCCTTGTTTTTATATATTTTAGAATAGTGCTTTACAAAAACATCACTTGTTGCAACACTCATTGCATCATAACAACACTTTTAGTCCAAATTTTTTTAAGAATTATTTATTTTTAATTAATATATATTTATCTTATACTATTTATTTTGTACAATATTTTACAAATAATAAAATTTTGACCAATGTAAGAAATATCTCACTTATAAAAGGACAATATTTCAATCCATCAATGTTGCAAGTCATCAAGTAGCCATCTATTTGGATTACAAGTTCTATATCTTTGCATAGATTTACACATTCGTTTTATTTAATGTCTTTTTTTTTCAATAGAGACTTTAATGTTATTACATAGGCTTGATACTTTCTTCAAATATCTCTACTAATACTTTTTATTCTAGAAATTTTGCCAATAGAGTTGATGAAAGAATTGAATGAATAATTCTTTATCAACTTTAAAATATTTTTCACATTGACTTGGTTACAAGTATTACAATTTCACCATATCACTACACTTTGATAATTACACATTAGATTTATATTAAAATATGAATAATTAAATAAACAAACAAACAAAATTTACTACTATCTATGAGCTATATCATCTTACCTATATACACACACAAAATTAAAAATCATTTTTTGTTCTTTTCATTTCTTAGCTTCAACCAATAGCCCAAATACTCTAAATACTTAGTACCCTACTTTGTTAAAGTAGGCACAAGAGCCTTGCTTGCTTGAGGTCCTCTCTTCACTCCAATAGCTATTCCAACCTATTTCAATATTTTGAACTCAATAACCTTTAACTTGTCGAAACCATTGTTTGAGTAACACAAAACATTCAATAATTGAGCTTTGAGAATTGCTTAGAGTAATCCTCCAAAGTTATGTGATCCAAAGTGCCCAAGCATTAGACTAGTTGCCACTTGATTCATTTCCAAAAATTTGTCTTTAACTCCTATTTCAATGATCCTTAGATTGTTGATAAGCTAACATTAAGTAGCTCCTACCTCAACAAATTCACTAATGTAAAATAATGATTAAAAAAAATCCAAGGTACTCCAATAATGAATTAATTATTAATTGATGGTAAATACTATTTCTATTGGGAACTCATATACTATCTTAGCTAGACTTAGGAGAACAATTAGTGGCATTCATTTATAAAAATTAATAATATATTCTTTACCTACCTTTCTTTTCATATTTATTATTACTTATTCATCATATACCTCTCTATTTATATATAGGTTTGATGTAGAATTTTATAGTAAATATGATATCCTTGTGCTTGTAAATATTATAATATGCCATTTTTTTTTCGAATAGCTATTAGTATCATATAATCTCTAATGTATAGTAAGAAAGTAGACAGTGTAAATTTTTAGTAGAAAATTTGTCATATTCAATATAAAAAATAATTAGTTTTTAGTAATTGAATAAATATAATAATAATAATTATTCTTTATTTTTTTAAAAAAAATAGTATTATATAGAAGCAATGGTCTTCTTACCATTTTTCTTCAAACTTATTCATAAAATTTCTTTCAAGCAAGCTACCACTTGTAAGATTATCTTCTAGGATTTGTCCAAAAATTCTTTTTTTGTGATTCAAGTTGACATTTTATTGTCTCCATACCACCTAATGGTTCTAAATTTTACAATGCTTTGGAGTAAATATTACAGTTCAGATATTAAAAAGTATAGATGCCAAATAAGAATCTATATAGAAATTACACCAATATATTTTGTATTTCCTTACTGTTCTAGCTTCAAATAACACAATTCTAGATTTGGCATTCCATGTTATTATTATCAGCCATGAAACTATTATATGTGCTAAAGTAGGCACATGCATTGATTTTTTTTAAAATTGAATGTTATGTGTAAAGGTGAATGAATTTAATGATGATTCAAATTTTAAAGTTATTTATTTAATCCGATTTTATAGTTGAGACTATTTTCTGAAAAAAAAAAAAAAAAAAAAAAAAAAAAAAACTCATTTAAAATATGTTGCAAAAGCTTTAAATTCATAACATATAAAATTAAAGATCTTTCACAAGTTGCATTTTCATGGTTAAGAATAAAATTATTTAACAAATATGAAAACGTTGATAATACAGAAAAAAAAAAAAAAAAATCATGCTTTAAATACATAAAAAAATATAATCTTAAAAATTAACAGAATTTTATAAGGGGTTTTTGATATGAAATTTAATTTATTAGAGATAATGAATGATTTTTATACAACATGGTATTATGAACAAAATACATTTTTGCAATAAAAATTAAATTTGACTTATGAAAATTTTATATTGTTGTAATATAGGTGATTAATTGTGCATGTATATAATGATTTAGAATATTCAATTAAAACTAATTAACATTATTTAGATTGGTGTTTCTATATTGACAGTTGCACGGCATGCATGATATTAAAATCAATTAGAAGTAGTACTAATATATACATTTATTAAATTAGTAAAAGTATTACTAAATAAATACAAGAGAATAAAAATCAATTGCTAATCAATAGCATGGGCATAAAATAATAATAAATCAAATAAAATGTTATAATATAACAATTTTTTAGAATATATAATATAAGTCCTTTAATATTACATATGTTTGAAACATATGCCATGACAATATTTTAGTAAGATCTTGGATTTTTCCTAAAACAAAACCATTCACTCATTAATAAATAAATTTGATGTTAACATTTAGTAAAATATCAGGTCTATTTAACATTTCTATATATATATACACACACACATATATATATATATATATATATATTCATATACTATGTTAATTCTATAATATTGCAAAAAGAATAGTATAGAATTCCTACATTAATAATATTTTAAAAAATTATAACAAAATATATGATGTATAGGAAAAAGAAAAGAAATCACACATGATAAATGTGAAATGGTTAAAAGAAATGGAAAAGGAGAAGCTCACCACCATAGTTCATTCGGCCCTCTCTCTTCTATCCAAAAAGAATAAACCCAATAAGAGAGAGATGCATGATTGGTATGGAAATTCCCATTAATACTATTAATCCCCCAGCACAAATGAGTAAGAAAGAATGTTGCCCCTTTTATGCCTCCCGAATGAGCGAAGTTGATAAGCTCAACCACGTCTTTGTGATTCCTTCTTCCAGGTTCCATCCGACGAACGTAACTCTTATTCATCCACCAAAGCACAACCCTCGTCGACATTATTCATCCGTCGCGTCTCCTGCACTCCCTCACCAGCTCTCCGCCTCCGCCTTCCAAATCCTGCCTCAAAATGGGCGCAGCCAGCTCGCAGGTCCTCCATGTTGGTTGCAATTTCGCGGCCTGATTGCCGAGAAGCGACGGACGAGCTCTTTCGAGTGGTTTTTGTTTCGTGCCTTTTGGTGGTGTAGCGAGGAAGAGCTATTGTTTTTGTGTGTGGATGTTTGTGGGTGCTTGTTGCTTGCAGCCGCTGATTAGTGGGATCGCCCTTTGTGTTGCGGTGAAGAACAATTTCTCCACGTTAGATAACGCGATGGTTTAGAGATTTTGATAAGTGGGGTATTATTTGTTTATTTAGCGAAGGTTAGATTTAGGATTTTTTTTTTTTTTTTTTTTTTTTTTTTTTGGGGGGGGGGGGGGGGAGGGGGGAAGGGGGGTGGGCTTCATTCAATCTTTTTTGGTTCCGTTTATTCTCGGTGAAGGGTTGAGTCGGTTCAGAAATTTGAGAGGAATGAGATTAGAGTTGCACCGAGGACCGAGGAGTGTGTACTTGTGATTTATTGTGTGGTAGGCAGCTCAGTGTAGGCATTGAGCTGCTTTGTTTTCCGAGTATTTGAGGGAGTTGAAATTGCGGCAATGGGTGTGTTGTGTGCCTCATCGCAAGGAGCTGCTCTGAAAAGTCTTGTCGACGCTCCTGCCAAGGTCACCGCCTCGGCGGCTTCGTCTGCACTCCCACTTCCCGGTTTTGCATCGGGGAGGACTGCGAAGGCTTTGAGGTCAAGTAGGGAGTGCCTGACCATTGCTTTGAAAGGAGGGCTTAGCCAGGGTTTAGGGAACTCTTGCGCCGGAATTAGCAGAAAGAGAGAATTGCGCCTCACACAAACTGCTATTTCGGCCACAACTGAGTCCTCTGAAACTGTGGAGGATCACCAGGAGCAGGGAGACGTCGCGGTCATGAACTCTAGTGGGTGCGAAACGTTGTGCACAACGACATGGGGTCTGTGTGATACGGTAATCGGGGTTCTCGGCGGCGGGCAGCTCGGACGGATGCTCTGCCAAGCTGCCTCTCCCATGGGCATTAAAGTATCTGTTTTGGACCCGCTTGAGGATTGTCCAGCTGGGAACATTGCGTACCATCATCAAGTTGGGAGTTTCAAAGATATGCAGGCTGTTCGGGAATTCGCTAAAGGATGTGGCGCTTTGACTGTGGAGATTGAGCATGTGAATGTTGAGACGCTCGAGGCTCTTGCACGCGAGAATGTCGACATTGAGCCCAAACCTTTCACAATTCGCATTATTCAGGTCTGGCATTACTGAATCTCAAATTCGACCTTGATTGCTATTTACCTGTAGTTTTATTGCTATGGTTATGATTTCTTTCTAGTTTTTTTTTGCTTGTTTGTTTTTGGAAACAGATGGATGGGACTCTTTGCTATTAAGAGAGGTATTAGCAAAGCAGCTGAGTCTGTGTTGCGAACAGTGAGCGATTTTTAGTCGGTGTTTGGATACTGGACTAGGTCTATGTTCGGAGGTGAGGGGTTCCAGAAAACCCTTAAACCAATTCCTGGGCAAAATTTATTGTTGGTAGTCCATGTGATATCAAATTTGTTTAGTAAACATCTCTCCTTGTAAGAGGTTTATTTATTTATTTATTTATTTTAATTTTCCCTTTCTCCCTACTTTTAATATTTTTTGGTCATGCATCGTGCAGGACAAGTATATGCAGAAGATGCACTTCAAGAAACACGACGTAGCCCTTCCCGAGTTTATGAAGATTGACTCTGCGGAGGAGGCGGAGGAGGCTGGGAAGTTGTTTGGCTACCCGCTGATGTTGAAGAGCCGGCGGGACGCATATGATGGACGCGGTAACGCGGTGGTTGAATCCAGGGAAGCTCTACCCCTAGCGATTTCGTCCTTAGGGGGCATTGAACGGTGTCTTTACGCTGAGAAGTGGGCGCCATTTGTAAAGGAGTTGGCCATCATGGTGGCTAGAGGGAGGGATGGTTCCATTCGCTCCTTTCCAGTCGTCGAAACCACACATGTTAGCAACATTTGTCATACAGTTGAAGCTCCGGCCCGTATCCCTAAAGAGGTCGCTGAATTAGCCATGCAGGTTGCAGAGCGAGCAGTGGGATCTCTATCTGGAGCTGGCATGTTCGGTGTTGAGCTTTTCCTTCTCAAGGATGGAAACGTATTGCTGAACGAAGTCGCACCGAGACCCCATAACTGTGGACATTACACAATCGAATCATGCTTCGTCTCCCAGTATGAGCAGCACCTGCGGTGTGTCCTCGGGCTTCCTCTCGGCGACCCCTCCATGAAGGTCCCTGCCGCTTTGATGTACAACATTTTAGGTGAAGCAGATGGAGAGGAGGGGTTCACCATCGCGCACAACATTATGCGTAGAGCCATGTCTGTGCCAGGGGCGAGTGTACACTGGTACGAGAAACCAGAAATCCGGAAGCAGAGGAAAATGGGGCACATCACGGTTGTAGGCCCAACGGCTGAGGTTGTGCGAGCTCGTATGAATTGGATCATCAACACGAAAGGCATACAAGATTACCCCAAGAAAAAGCCATCCTTCGTCTCTGGTGTTCTTCCTTCGAATGTAGCCACTGCGCTGGCAAGCTCTTCTGAAGATGCAAAACCATCGGGCCCGCCTGTTGGAATTATCATGGGATCGGACTCAGACTTGCCAGTAATGTCTGCTGCTGCAGAGATTTTGGACTCATTCGGTATTCCATATGAGTTGACGGTGGTGTCTGCTCACAGGACTCCAGAGAGGATGGTCTCATACGCCCAGACTGCACACAAACGTGGTGTAAAGGTGATTATCGCTGGGGCAGGAGGAGCTGCTCACCTCCCCGGGATGGTTGCTTCTTTGACTCCGCTTCCTGTGATTGGAGTGCCTGTGAAAGGAAGCCATACAGATGGGCTGGACTCGTTGCTGTCTATCGTCCAGATGCCACGAGGAATTCCCGTTGCTACAGTAGCGATTCAGAATGCAACAAATGCAGGTCTCCTGGCTGTGCGGATGCTTGGTGTAGAGAGTGATCAGATTGTTGATAAGATGGCTGCCTACCAGAACAGCTTGAAGGATATGGTGCTCGAGAAAGCAGAGAGGCTCGAGACTATCGGCTGGAAAGAGTATTTGAAGTGATTTTCATATCTCAAAGTTCATTGGAGTATGGATGGAATCGACGCTTCAGGGTTGAGATTGGCACATGATCTTGTGAAGATATGGGCATTATTCAGAGGAGTGGAAGGGAATTCTCGAAGAGACGCAGGCATTCGCATCATATCCACTTGCCATCATATTTTGCAGTCTAAATGCTTATGGGTCGCTTCCCATGTAGTGGGGCCGTTGCGGCCGCTGAAACTGGTGTTACTTTAGCAAGTCTTCACGAGGCTTAGCACAGTGAAACTTTTGGCAGTTGCATCAGACACCTTTTTGATAGAGTTCTTTTTTACCTTCGTCTTTCACACTCGAGCTTGCTTAACCTAACTCAACATTTTTAATTATCCTCTAGAAACTTAGTACTATTTGTTCTGTATTTTGTTTACAACAGATCTTATTGATATGGCTGGTGTGTGCGATGCGCTTTTTAATCAGCGGCTAAGAATCCAATGAGAAGTAAACTTTCACTGTGTTGCACACTCCTTTTTTACAATGTAGGCATGTGCCTGAAGGTCTCCAGCTTGTTTGTATTGGCACCACTGCACCAGTAATGCGGTGCGCACATTTTTGGCAAGACATGATTAAAAGGTGGACTGATTCTCTATCGACTTGGTTCCGTTGCAGCTGCTAGAATCTCAGCATCCACCAAGGAGGACAACGAATGAAATAGGCATAGATTGTACAGTTCAAAGTAATTGATATTACTGGTTCCTTCCACGTGCACGCAGCTTCATTTGGCATTGGCAACGGAAACCAATTAAATTTGATAAGAGTGACGCTTCTTGTCCCTCAAAACATCTACAGGATAAGATAACAATACATAATATATGATCCAGCTTGTGAAACAGAGATGCAGATTTAAAAGCCTCCAGACATGCGTCTACGAGGTTTAACAGCATCACGAGCGTCCATCCACCGAGACAGTGCCAACAAGCCTTTGTAACCGTAAACAAGAACAAGAAAAGCACCAACTACCAAAAAACCTATCATTATCCAGCGACCTGCCTTGACAATATTCTCCTGCATGTACAGAGTCAGAAGTAGTCTTTAGGATAAAATTCTGAACGTCTTGAAAGTCAGGACACATGTCTTAAATGCCAATACTTAGTAGAGACATGCATTCTGTACACACTCTAAATCCTAAACATGGATGAATAAGAAGAAAATTCACCTTGAAGGCTGAAGGCTTAGTTGTATCGTCCAGGTTACGACCTCTCCGTTTTTTTGGGACCTTAACTGGTGCTGTATTCATCTATATAACAAGATAACCACAAAGACATCACTCAAACCAACATATAACAAAATCTTTTCAGTCTTACGCAGAAAACATCTGCATAAAACTAAGACTCTTGTGGAAATTATATCAAATATTACGAGAAACATAACACTGGACAAACAAATTTGCACACCTCAGGTTCTTTCGATTTGCGATGTCGCAGCAGTTCGGTTTCCTCTTTTTCCCTCCTTTCAGCAGCCAAACGTGAGCACTCTTGATCACAAGGTAAGAGCCCCACTCCAAAAACTGCACTCTTTTGTGAGCCTTTTGGTAGGGCAGCTTGTGCATCACAACAAAGCCACTCTTTCTTGAGGCGTTGGCAGGCACATCGTACAGTCACCTGGCATGAACATAACAATTTCGAGAAAACTTGGATCAATATACACTGGTCAACGAAGAAGCATAACGAAAGTGGCTCTGATCCTTGCCTAGTACAGCTTAACTAGGACCAGTACTGACCTTCAACGACGGTCAGCGGGTTAAAATCGTAAACAGGTCACTCTTCAACAATTCCTACACAAATTACATATACGAATCCAGTGCAACCTTCAAATTTCGAGATGGTTACAAACTCTAGACACGAACACCGTTCAACCAGCTGAAGGCGGAATGAAAATACAGGATGCATTTCATGAAACAGAGAAACTAGTTGCAGGTTAGCTCCAGAAAGTACCTTCTTGCGACAGCTGTCAGCGGCCGTTGGACAAATTCCTGGATGACAAATATCCGGACATAGATGCGAGCAATTTGGGAGTTTTCTGAAGAGAACCCACATTGTCTCGGTTCATTTGTTGTTTATAAGATGAAAATAGCCACGTAGTAATCAAAATGAAACCTACCAAGGTCTATCAAGAATTGCCTCGAATCTGAATTGAACTGAAGAGCAAGAGCATTGTATGTACTTGTGGCAAGGCCCACCGCAACTCAGTAACTTGGCTCGTTCTTTGTCGGAGACCGAATTGAAGGCAGTGCATTCAAACGACTGAACTAAAGCCTCACAGTGGCAAGCACGCTTCAGGACAGCTTTACAAGGTTTGCAATCCCCAATGTGACAAATTTGAGTACATGGATGTGGGCACCGAAGGAACCGCTTCTGCCAGCAGAAATCACATGGAATACATTAAAAATAAATTCCCGACACTATTTCTGATCAAACAACCATTAAATCGCTAAAATGGATCCTATATACCTGGTGCAACCATAACAATTTGGAGCTAAAATAATGCAAGTAGAGAAGATACTTCAACGGATTGGCACAGAATTAAGATGGTAATGCGAGAATAGCAGAACGCAACAGACCTTTTGACAAGGTAACCGACACTGTTCACAGCTATCAACAACCTTAACGTTGTCAGGTTGTGTTGAGGTCTCCTGTACCAAATTGTTACTGTTACCCTTTTCATTAAGTGGCGAGGATCCATATTTACCCCACACTCTCTCAGGCTCATCCGTTGGCTCTGCCAAGTCTATCCCAGAGGGCATGACTACAACCTGCTTAACATAAACTTCTTCCCCTGCCACAATGCGTGGAATGGTGACAAAATGGCATGAATTTCTGCAAATATGATTTCCACAAGCCAGCGGGTTGCCGCAGAGTTTGCTACACCGAAATTCAGCACTCTGTGAGCATACCATCTGCATAACGATCAACTTGACATTAGTTAAACCAAAGATTGGGATTCTGAGAAAAATGTTTCTGAATACAGACCTAAGTATTTAAAACGATAAGTGACCAAGTTAAACGCAATACCAGAAATAATATCCTAACTTACAGGTACGAGCACATGGTAATCTGCATTATGAAAATGAGAAGACAAATGTGACCCTCCTCGATTCCTCAGAAACTATCTGAAAGTGTCTGCATTCCGAACTGTAAATGGCTGGAATATTAACGGACTAGATGCAAGACCTGAGACACTGGTACATACCGTGCGCTCACTGCCTTGATGCTGACCAAGACATTTCTTTACAATTCGTTCAGAGCAAGCCGGACAAGGTTCACCAATACTAGCTGATCCGTCGTGAATAGGTTTCTTCTTTTTGGTCTTATAAGTGTAATCAGGATTTGGAACAGGTTTAGCCCCATGACACCTGAAATTAAGAAAAGACGCAGTTCGAAAACACGTATGGACGGACCCCTTTCAGAACACAAAACTAAAGATAAAAGAATTTTGTTCATAATATTGTTATTATATAAAAACCATTCAAAACCTTAAATGGCGCAACACGTATCACATACCTCTCTTTGCAATTGTGGCCACACGGTAATAGGGTCATACAGGGCAGCTGACATTCTGGACAAGCACCATAATGACACCTGTGTGGCTGCAAATAATTAACGCAAAAATAAAACTGATATCAGATCGGTGAATATGGAAAACCCAGAACAAAAAAATGAAAATCCAAAAAGTATTGATAAGAGTACAGCCTCCAAAACCAGAACCACTCAGGTCATGTCACAAAATAGTACTCGCGCTTAGGAATGTCAGGTTAATACCTTGCAATTTGAGCCATGATTGCACTTGGGGGATATCGAACAGAGCTTTACGCAACGTGGAGGCCGTTGTGTTCTTTCTGTTCCACAAGGTACCTGACAACTACACATATCAGCAAAGAAAAGCGCATATGATCCTCTAACTCGTAGGTGCTGAAATCAAGACATAAAGCCCTACTTTATATTTGACCCCAAATCCAAATTACAATTTAGAGTTAAAAAACAGGAGACCGCAAATAATAAAATTGCTGGGATGTAAAAACCCTAGAAAAGTAGAGTTCTAGACAACAATCGGATTCATTACTACAATGCCCAGATCTACAGCAAAGATATATCAACAAAAAGAACAAGTATGACCTCCGCATGCCATATGAACAACTCTTATCGTGAACACAACGTCTTCATATAAGCTGCACAAATAGAAATTAATACTTGAGTTCATGAGCGAACCTGGATGCAAGTTGCTCCACAAGCGCATGAGATTTGCACGTTGATAGGACAAGGTGCACACAGTCCTCTGCCAGCCACGACATTCCTTCAAGTCAAGATCTTTCGAATGAAGTACACAATAGCCAAATTGTCTAAGTAGTAGATCGTACACATGCTATCTCGTAGTAGTTGCTTTGATGAAATAAAGTGAAGTGGCGGATATTATATACAAGGTGATATTCTAGTAACATGTGACGAACTTACAAAAGTGGATACTCAACGGGATTCCAAACCTGTTTTACCTCTCTACCAGCGATCCGAACCTACAACTTGAACTCAAAGGGCGGCAAGAATTGATAGAATATAATTTATAATAATGTGGACGTCCAAAATTTGCAAACCTGTGACAGGGAGCTGGGCACTTATGATTCCCGCACTTCAGCCTCCGGCCGCACACCTACAAGTCCTTACCATGTCCCATTTTAATTCAAGTATTGTGAATATAAACATGGAGTTAGACTTCTCACTCAACAAACATGTTCGAGAAAAGAGATGGCCCCATTTTCAAACTGTTATGAGACGACACCAACTCCTACAACAAAGAAGGAGAAAAAAACTATTCATGTTTATACTTGCATTCTTCTATTTTTTAGAAGAAAAAAGTAATCAAAGGAAAAATATTTCATTGCGAAACCCGATTAAAATCAAACCTCTGAGCATAGTGGGCAATCCCCGTCACAGCAGCGACGTTTACATGCATGCCGACCACAGTCTTTCATTCGTTGACACTTCCTTTCACATAACAGTTCTTGATGGCAAGGGACCTATGAATTGCAGGCATTCGTCAAAGAAGGTCCATGCTTATCATAAATCGTTGCCCTAAACTGCGGATCTCTCACAATGATCCCAATAAAAGAATAAACCTGCAACAAAATGCAAATACAGGTCTAACGTATGCTCCGCCCCAGCACCAGAACAGTGTGCAAACTTCCTCAACCATCAAATAACGCACAGCTTCAGAGTGGTTACTCACCTCTTTCTTGAGACTTCCACAACGACAAGATTTCACAAGAACAACACGACACACTTCTTTGCATGAGCCATAATGGCAGCGCTCTGAACAGCGATGGATTTGACAAGGTAAAACTTTTTCGCACGTTGAACCGCATGTGGGTATAACCACATCACAAGGGACTCCCTTGTGCTCTACTTTTCCACAGGGGCAGCTCCTCTTTCCCGTTAAATAGCAATCCCCACACGGTCCTGAATGACAGCCTCTTTGACAACAGTGTTTCTGGCAAGATAACTGTCGACCACAAGGATTCTCACACCTAAAATTTGACTCTGCACAAGCTCGAATTGCACTCGTCTTCCCACATTGACATTTATGCACGGCAGTTTTGCTACAAGGGGGACAATCTCCGTCATGGCAGGCATTTTCACACTTGTGTTTACCACAGCTAAGAACCTTCTTGCATTCTCTTCCACATGAGAATTTGCTGTGCCCACATCGCCGCATTTTGGATTCGGCTCCACAAAAGCAACTGCAAGTTGTCGAAGAAGCCAATCACATAAAGTGAGCAACTCATCTCATTACTGGTTTTCTGCAGAAGCTACTCAAGAGCGAACTATCGCACCCTTGCATAGAAGAGAAGTGAAGTACGAATGACAATTACTACAAGTTCTAATAGTAGAAGGGTGTACAAAAAGAGAGTTATTCTCGTCTGACAACATGGAATGTTAATCTCGAAGGAAAAGACGATGAAAATGGTTTACAATAGCCATCTCCATGCTAGCAGAGCGATCGTCAAACAACCACGCCCAAGTCTAGGTGACATACCTAACCATTTTAATACGCTCATCCAATTAGTCTATTCTTTTACAAGAAAAATGGGAGTATACGAGTGCAATGTTTCAGTAACAGCATTGCATTGCGCGACTTAACTTAATTTATTCACCTTGAGATCTAAAATACCTGAACTTGAGTAGCTGGGGACATGTCGGACACGGTCCAGGGTGGCACAACAACACGCACTCGTGGCCACATTTACTCGGCAAAGCTCGACCGCATCTCTCTCCACAAGTATGAGGAGCCAGCCAAGGATCATGTACTGGGTGCTCTTGTTTCCCACAAAAGCATCTGTATTCCCGTGGAAGCTCTGACTTTGAGTAATCGGTCCTACAAAAAAAATTGCCAAAACAAACGCCTTTAAAATCTGTGGAAGAGTGAGAATCTCAAAAGGGGTGACCTTCTCCTATGAATAAAACTCCTAGGAAAACCTTAAATTCATCATTGACACAACGTACACCAAACTCTAACCCAAGCTCTGAATTTGTTCTCATCTATTATGGCAACTTTAGAAGCACCCATGATGCATCACTAGGGCCAATAAAGCAGACCTGCATTTTGGGCAGTGCCAACAGGCTTTGTCCTCTGCTTCCGCTTGGGCTGCAGGAAAATGTTGGCCAGACAATTGGCCAAGGGAGCGAATTGCAGCTGCTCCGAGAGCTTGACGAGCCCATGATTGTATGCAGATGAGATGAAAAATCACATGACAACCGGCCTTGCAGTCCCACACTGGATCTGTGGCTCTTACTCGCTCTAAGCAGATCAAGCAGGACGTTGCACCACTGCGTCGTGCCAATAACAACGATCGAATCTTCGTTAATCCTGGATTAATGATAAACAACGACGAGTTCGTCACTGATTGCAGACTAATGAAAACAGGGTCATATCTATGAATGCTTTCAATATAAAGCACACATCCGATTCCGCCTTACAAAAACAAATGAATAAGCTATTCAACTGAGACGCATGTGTCTCATAAACCCTAAACCCACTAGATTGTACCAATGAATTGCGCATGCCTGTAATTAGCACACCCTCAATTTCTCCCAGAAGAAAGAAGTGTAGCTTCCAAATGCATCGAATCAAATCAAAGCCTACCCTACCCTAGATGTATCCAGAAATTCGCATGTCGATACATTTTTACATTGATGGGATCCGACAAGCAGGTGTTGCCCTTAATCTGTGTAAACATCTTCTAGTCCACGGAAGAGAATAACAACGCGAAAGCGCAGCTCCTCACACTGAGTTCTTAAGAGAAAAGCGACACCTGTGTCATCAATGTCTTCTGTGGTTGGATAGTCAGCCATGATGGCAGACTCCAGAGCATCCACATCGCGACCACGAGCACCGCCCTCTCCTCCGCTCTCTGAATCCTCGTCACTGGAGCTGTAAATCGGATCTGCCAAAGCCGGTTGGTTAGTGAAAGACAACGGAGGGTTTTTCACTGGCATTTTGATTGCGGCACTAGCTTGGCTCTGAGGTTGGTTGCGGAGAGGAGTATTCCAGGCATTTCGTCCTTGAGATGAAGTGCCTGCGGCGTGACTCACGCTCCCTTTGTCCATCGCTCTAGCATGAATCATTCAAATGAGACTTCCACCCAATGCCCAAAAACCACCGCTTCGTCTTCGGACCTGTGCCCGCTACAAAAGATAAGAAGATTGCTGGACACTACCGACTCAAACCTATTCGGCGAACAGATCACCTAAAAGATCACCTCCAGCTATTCCCAGCTCTCAGCGAGGGGCTGCATCGATACACACTAAAATCCATAAGCCATTGAGAAGATCATCAACTGACGGAAACGGACAACTGCGAACACTCGAGCATGAAGAAGGATCACACACAATGCCACATAAACATGAGATCTAGAGGATTTGAGACTATTTCGCCAAAAAAAAACACACAAACACACACGAGAATTTACACCATAAACTAATAACCCAACCCCCCGTGAAAAACCCACAATCCCGCAAGCATCGTAGAATCGTGTTGCAGAAACCTCCTTGCTCAATCTACTGTCTCGAGACATCTGGGCCGTCAGATTCCAGATTGAATCCTGGCCGTTACAGGATTTATTGGGAACGCAGGGAGGGAACGTAAGGGAACCAGGGGGCGGGTGGTTTGGAGGGTGGCTAGTTGGGAACTCAGAACCCATTCCTGATTGGGCCCGCACGGATCCATATTCTACCCCTCATTGGGCCCACACTGATCCAAATTCACATGGGTGCGGAAGTTTGTTCAGAGGCTGCCTCTCAATCCCAATTTTCAACCATCACTCTTGCTTCAAAATTGTTTTTTTGTTGCCATACACAACGGCACTCATACATGGACATGATATTTTTGTTTCCAGGAAGTTTTTTTTGCAATTTAAAAAATTCACTCAATATTTTTGTCAAACATAGATATTTTATAAACAAGGATTCATTATTGATTATTTCTTTTTACAAGAAATTAAATATAGATTGGCTACATTTTAGATTATTTTATTTTTTATTAAATATTTAAATTAAAATTTATTTATTAAAAATTTCGTAAATTTTTTCTTCAAAATAGTTTACAAATCATAAAACATTTTCTACAAGCATTATGTATCTAAGTAGTTTTACAACTAAAAAAAATGCAATAATCATAATAGTATGGTCATAAAAACCACCACTAAAATAAGTCTTTATTGTATATAATGGCAAATACCACATATAAACTATCATCAAATTAAATCAAATCCTTATACAAAGCATCAAATTTTGCATCCACACTCTTAATAAAAATCTAAAACTTTCAAGAAAATTTTTATATCTTGGTCAATAATTCATCCTTTCCTATCTGATACAACACTGTTATCTTCTTTTACAATCATGTAGTATTATTTTTTGCACTTAATTTTAGTGAATCTAAGAAAAAATATATTCAAATTCCTACAATTTGGACATGTTTCTTTATACAACTTAGATAGTCTCACTTATATACAATTTTTTTGAACTTTTTTTCTTTGTTGTAAAACTTTGAGTCCACCAAGTTTTGGCACTATTAGATTCTTTCCGCCATATTCTTCTTCATTATCCAATTTTCTCTTCTTCTGTTAGCTTCCAAATCCAAGTTTAGTACTTGCAACATGAGATTATAAAGGGATAATACTACCACCTTTTCTTAGCATGGGAATTTGTAAGGGTCTTGATAATAAGTTCATTGTATCTCCTAAAATTACCAAGACTAATTTTGTTGTTTTATTGAATGCATCATATTATTCCATGGTTAAAGCCTTCATCTTATTTAGTATCATCAAACTAGTTATTTCAAATAATCTATAAACTTGAACATCATGCCTAAGAATTTGAACTCCACTATCTCCTAGATTGCTTAGACCATCATTTGGTCCATTATTTGAACCATTATATGATCCATTACTTAGACCATGATCAAAAATATTTCTTTTTTAATAGAAGAAGTCAATTCTTTTGGATGTACTTGATAATAAATCCAATAGATGAAAATATTCTTCATTAACAATCCATCTCATAGCCCACATGTATTTATATATGGAATTATAATTGTTGCATTTACACCATTTGTAAGATAAACTAACAATATATCATTTTATTAGAATATCTTACTTCAAAAGGCAAACTCCATACATTATGCATCAAAAACTTCCAAATTCGACAATGGATCTTATTTGTAATGTTCAACCAACCACTTAGTTCTTTGCAACCTTGATATTTTTGTTTGTCTCCACCTCTTAAAGAATACTTCTTTAATTCACTTAATATACAAACATTATTGTAGTCTTGCACCAAAGTAATTTATCCAAAATAATATCATGAATTTGGCTTGTCTATCAATGGAATGATAAGTTCATCAAGTCATTGATTCACTTTTCTATTTAAAAGGATATATTTTACATATTTTCACATGCGTTCTACAAGATTAGTTGCATTGGCATGTCTATGATAATACAACCTGGTCCATTTTGGCCACATCAGCTTCCATTGGCAATTGTATTATGTCCAATTGTTATCTACATATTTAAATACTCTTTTTTTTTTTCAGCATATGTAATCTTGAATCTTCTATACTTAATGTCAAATTTTTTCTTAGTATTGACTTCTAACATAAAGCACATTATCTTGTATAAATTGGAATGTTGAATTTTAGGCAATTTAAGTATCAAATATTTGATCCATGTTTTTTTTATATAGAATTAATAAAAAAAGTATATGATAATTTATTTGAATTCCACCAATTTTTTCATTTTTCCAATACAAATAGTCTTTATTTATGATTCTCATTAAAGCCTTATATTTTGTATTAATTTTGTCAATTACTATTGTATTTGGTCAAATTGTATCCATATTTTGAAATATGACACACATTGTAAGATATAATGTGATTTGTTCTTGACCACTATCCTTTTCAATACTACAAAGTATTAAAAAAATTGATATTCATAATTCCATTATATTGGGTAGATTTCAACATACAATGACATATTCCATTAATTGATCTTAAATGTTGAGTCTACAATCTATACTAAGTTTTGCATAGTATCTTTTGCTCTTTCGAACATGTCTTTTCTTTGTATCACTAATACAAATGGTCGTTTCTTTGCTATTAGATTCTCTAGATCATATTCTTAGTAGAAAATTATTTTTTCATTTCCACTCACTTAGGGACTATTTTTCTTACCACTTCATATTTTTTTTCATTGCATCTTTCTTTTATTTGAAGTTGATATGATAGAATTAATGCTTCTTTTGAATCTAAAAAAAAAAAGTTTGTTATTCATATAATGGAGCTTTTTATCTTAAAATATCTTTATATCTTCTAGAATATTTTTAGATAAATTTGATGCTATTAAGGTTATCTAACATCTTAGCACAATTATTAATTACACTTTGATGAACACACAAAAAATAAGAATCCTTCTTTAATCTATGATTGTAGCTATTATGACTTAAATTTGTATAAATTTGAATATCTTGCCTTTCATCTTCTAGATATATAATTTTTACAAAAAACTTACATCCCACATGTCTTTTAGACAATTGCTATTTAAAATTATCATTATTATTGATTGAATCAATATCTTTGCTATGAAACTTTTGTCCTTGATGGCACACAAAGACTGCTATCTTTGAAGCATGAAGTATCTTTCTTTGAGATTGATGAATTAGCTTCAATATCAATATATATTCAATCTTTAAATTGTTCATAAATTCTTCTTCTTGGGCAGAAGGAATTATATAATATTGTGTGTATTATCAAAGTTCTTGACCTTATAGACAAATCACTCTTTCAAATCTAAGTTTTCTAAATTTACACCCAATATAAGTCTTAATTACTTTAATCATGTAAGTTTTTGGAATTCTATATTTATTCTTTTTTACCATCTATTTCAAATCATATAATCTTGAAAAGAGTTTTTGCATTTATAAGATGAGACCTTCCTCCACAATGTCAATTTTAAACTATTGATGCGCATTTATTAATACATAAAATAATAAAATATAAATATTTTTTATTAAATAATTGATCTTTAGTATTAAGAAACTTAAGTATTCCAAAACCATTTCTAAGAGTTCTCTATTTTTTCAAAATAATTATATAAAACATTTCAATTGTAGTTTCTTCTTGATGAATAAAATTAACATTTAATTTAATAATAGTCTTAGATATGGTTGTTGTTATATCTCCCTTCAACCATTGAATAAGTATTTTCTCAATTTACGTTTAAAGTAATAATATCTATTAGGGATAAATGCTAGAGGATCCAATTGTGGAGCTTGAACCACTTCCATCTTATATTCATCTTCTTTTCTTTTATTATCTAAAAGCTGAGGGAAGTTGAAGTCAATTTCATCATTTTAAGAGATATTGTCAAGGACCTTAAAGACTTTGTTTATGTTTTCTATCATGTTCCTATCTTCCAAGCTCTAAAATAAGATATCTACTTCACCTATACAAATCACATACAATATAGTTAGTATTACATGAAGTTATTACTTTAAAATAATATTTAGTTTATTAGTAGCAATTTCTCCACTAAATTCTCACATTAGCCATTGCCAATATTTTAAATTACAAATAAGTAATGGTGGGTTCCACTACAAAGTTGATCAAATAGTAAATATTTCTTAATTATTTTCTATCCACTAATTTCTCTTTAGAGGTAAAAAATAGTCACCATCTATATTCATTTATGATTTGTTCTATTCATTATTCACCATCAAATTCTCCTTGGTGGTAAAAAGTAATCACCATTCATGTCCATTTTTTTATTACTTCCATCTTTTTCACATAAAACCATATCTTGGTAGTGAAAATTACTATACATTTTTTCTTCTTTTTTCTTTGCTATTTTTTTTTTCTTTCCTTTTTCTTTGTTGTGATTGCCACTACCATTCTCTATGAGGGGACACTACTCCATTCATAGAATTATATATAGGATTTGGTAATCCTTCTTATCTTACTTTACTAAGAAAATTCCAAGATACAATTTATTTTGTAAAAAATGACTACTCTGCCACATTGATATATAGTGTGATTTTTTATTGATGAATACAATAAGTACCTATCTATAGAGAGCTTATTTATATCTTATTGGCCAAGCTCTAATAAGTGATTTATTTTTAATATAGAGGACAGATAAAAGTAATAATATCAAAAGATAATTTATTAATAAAAATCTTTTATATTTAAGAAGATTTGTACATAAGGATTTCTAGAGCATCTAGAAATATCCTAAAATCCTTTGGTATACTAAATCATAACTAGTCATTTGCCAATAAGTTAAGTTTTTTAATAATCTCGAAGAAAAGCCATAATTTCTTTTCAAAAATCTATTTTCATATCATAATTTTATCATTCTCACATATTTCCATCTTTAATATATATATCTATATATATATATATATATATATATATTCTTGATTCTTGAAAGCTCCTTTACTTTGCATAAAATGATCAAATTGTACCAAAACCCTTTTAAAACATTTTTTTCTAGCAAAAGATTTTTCTCTCCAAACTTTAGAATTTTATATCTCTTACTTTAATCATTCAATTTTTTTCAAATTTCTAGATAATGCAGCATTTATCCTTAGGCTTTATCACAAAAAAAGAAAAAAAGAAAAAAAGAAAACTATAAATTTATTATAGATCGTCTTGTGGCTTAAAAATCCTAACAAAATTCTAAAGTCCAATTTACAATTATTTAAGTGCTATTTTCTTCATATCTCAAAAATTTAAAAATAAAATACTACAAAATTTCACATATAGCTTTATAACATAGTAATATACATTTATAGAAAATTTTAGCTAAAGATTCATCTAAATGCTTGAGATATGGCTAGAAACAAATCCCTCATAAAAATGATTCATTGACAAACGTCAATTTGGAAGCACTGTCTTCAAGTGGACGTTGCTCCTCTAAATCAACTTCAAACCTTTTATTTTTTGCATTTTATATGCTTTCAAACCAACTTTCTAATTACATAATCTAATTTTCAAAAAGCCTTTATACATGTGTTCTATGCTCCAAAGAAAGATAGTAGGTACAAAATCAATACTAATAAGGTCTTAGGCAGTCTCCTTGAAGTCCATTGGACATGACTTTTGGCCAATAGGAATGGAAATCTTTATCATCCATCTCCATTCATCCATATGGTTGGCCTAACTACTCTTTTTTATACATGAACCCTTCTCTAATCATTTTTCTAATAAGTTTTATATAGTATGTGTCCTAAACACCAAATAAAAAAAACAAAATAAGATTTTAAGAATCACCAATGCCTAAAAAAGGTAGCTCAAAATATATAAAAACTATTATCAATATAAAACCAACTTCAATAATATCTCTTTTAAACTAATTACTTCAAAGTATCAATCTAATCATATTTTATAACCAATTAAAATCTAATAACATAGCTCTCACTACATTGTATAGTAAATTATATATATATATATATATATATATATATACATATAAATGCATTAATTTTACATGGTAGCCAAACCACAACATGACAACATTCTCTTCTTTATTCTCTTTACACTTTCTTCCTTGCTTCCTTGTCTGCGTTGCTAATTTTTGTTGAAATCATCTGCTTGCCCTCTTATGTTCTCCATGAGTTCCTATTAGACCTTGTAACAATCGAAATTCAATCTAGTTTGAATAAGTTTATATGTGAATAAGTTTTGAGCTACCTTGTTACTATATGGTGAATAAGTTTGAAGTTTATATATATATATATATATATATAAGGAAATATTAAATAGATCCATCTTTGATAAAGAATATGATAATCATGATGAATGTGGTTGGTTTTTATTAGTTGCAGATCCACCAATTGAAAAATGAATCTAAAAATCATTATTTTTTTCCATTATTGTTAAGATGGGTGGATCAATTTAATAAAAACTTAGGTCAATTTCATGATTCCAAGGGCGATGCTTAGACTAATCTTCATTTGATTGATTTCATCTTAACACTTTCTGATACCTTCTGGGGCCAGCCTGGTTAAACCCATCCAATGCTTACACTCTAAAACCCAGCCCATCAACAAACATCCAGTGCACATTAGTTTTCTAAGAGCTAATATACATGAGTCGAAGCGCGATGCTCCGAGTTGCCCAAGGACGCCGCTTCTGTCGCGTTGCAGATCTGGAAACGTCGACAAGAGCATCGGAGGAAGGTGTACATTCAAACTCAATGCTCTCGTGGCACATTGCCATGGAACTTATTGATGATAATTCATTAATGTTCACACGAACCGTCCATTGTGGTGACTCAGTATTGACAGTAGAACCGAATTCGACAAGTTCATGGTGCAAGCGAAGGAAATGAAGGTTTTTGACAAAACAAAAAAACTGGGACTGGCTTCATTCCGAATCTTAGCATTTTGCTCGACACGGTACAAACCGCTTCAAGAATGGATCCAGCATTTGAAGTCTGTTGGCAACGCCTAGAAAGTTTCTCAACTGCATAAACCAGTGTGATATTTCTCTAGTAGATATGAAACGAACGGACGCTGCAAATGGGCTTGCTCTTGTCAGCGCAATGGACAGTGAGGGCATTCCATCGAGACGGAGAGTCAATAAGGCTTCCAGAGAAGAACCCCACTCTACAGTATGAAATGGCTATCTGGTAACAAACGGGAAACAGAAGAAGGAAGTAGTATTCTCAGGCCAATCGAAGAAGGAGTAAGTATCTGCTAAGTACTGGGTCATAGCACCCCTGTCTAGAAATGACCCTCAAACTTTAAACGTAAAACGTGTTGGTCGGTAAGTCAGGCTTCAGTTTCCCTTCACAAACGGTGGATGCAGCAATATCGAATTGCGACTTGTGGAATTTTTGTGTGCTACACAGGATTAATCATGACCTCCTCGACCCGTTATTGCTGCGTGAGCTACAAATCTGCGCTTCTTCACAACCTTCTCTCCAAGCCAACACCATGTTACATACTTTCTGTCCTCGAGTTGTAGAATTCGTAGGCTCCGTTGTCATGCATAGTCGTGCATCTCTCGTCTATCGCTACACGAACTGGGCGCTTCCATGCTCATACATTACGGTTAGTGTGGCCTTTATTTCCTAGGACGCAACTCGCAATTGGCTCCCTCAACTTTTGGGTTTTGTGGTCAAAGACAGTTGAGTGGAGATAAAAAAAAAAAAAAAAGAAAAAAAAAGAAGGTATCTGCGCTCCTCCAGAGGACTGACCTTTTTCGAAGATAGTTTTCCTACTACTCGCCAAGCATTGGCCAGCGTTGGTGCGAATGAAAAGTTTCATGATTTGGCTGCCAAATTTTTTAAGGAGTGTGGTTGTGGATCTGTGAGCTCGGAGTGGGGATCACCTGCACTGGAGCTGTTGCCACGCATCATCCTCCGAGGTTTGTTTGCCTTATGGTTGTTAGCTGAATTGTGGTCCACAAGAGCAGAGTTGGGTAGAACGTTCTTCTCGGCCGCAGTTTTTCATCTTTCCTGCTGCTTTTATCTTCGATGCCCTCGTGCTACCTTCTCATTCATTCTATGTACAACCCTGTCCCAACTCAGGCTTCTTTTTTACTTCTTACATGAGTGTCCTTCATCAGTACATGGCTCGTTAGTGCTCCAAAGCCCCTAAAAGTAAAACAGAATGAAATGAAACGATGAATGAATGACTTGCCTGAACTCTTTTTCGCAGAATGTGACAGTCTTTCATTCTGTGTTTCCCTGGTCAGATAGAGAGCTTAGAGAATCCTTACAAAATACATGTTTATCTGCATGTAAATGGACTAAATTTACTCGCCATTCCCTTTAAGTCAGATGCAACAACCGGTGTGAAAAACAACGAAACAATGATTTGGAAGTGGATGCTATGTATGTATGTATGTATGTATGTATGTATGTATTTGTTTTCTCTCAAAAAAAGGTTGTCAGGCTGATTGATCAAATCAAAACAGAAAACGGTGCTTGAAGTAACCTACTTCCACAGTTATATTTGAACAATATCCTCACAACTCTAAAACCACTGTTCACAATTTTCAGTCATGAGAATCTGACACCTCTGAACCAAGTTCAGGCACAAACTGCTCCAATAAAATTGAGCATCCAGGCCAAGAAATGTCTCCGCAAGTCCACCACAGGCGGCTTCGCTGTTCGACGGAAAGAATGAATTCACCATGACGAGGTGGGGGGAGGCTCTGACTTGGAATCATTAAATGGAAAAAAAGGGATTCAAGTAAAGCAAACAATGTGTGCTGCACTCATCCATCAACCAAAGATATCTGCAGCTCAAGTATCCACGGCGAGCGTGCCAATTGCCAGTTAGAGGCTCCGCTGAGCCACGCTGTGAATGGAGGAGACATAGCCAATCTTATCTCGTACTGGGCCTCGCTTGTGGCTTGGAAGACTCTCGCCAGCATACATATCAGGCACTCTGCATCGCTACCTCCCGTAGCTTTTCTGAATCGCTCTACCTCACCTCGTCCACGAATCCACCCCTTCGCCACCATGGCTGGTACCGCGTTCACCGCGGCCACTGTACCCAGCTCCGCCTCCCTCAAGGTTCGATTTGGTATCCCATTTCGGCGAATTAGCTGATGTAGGTGCTCACTGGCATGGTGTAGGTTGAAAATCCATCACAGAGGTTAGTGAATAATGTGATTGTGGGCAAGTCGACAGCGTTGCGGTTCGCGACGAATCAAATCACTTGAGAACACTTGGCTTGTGAATGTGGAGATTGTAGTTGGTCTTAGAATCATTCAGGACGAGCGCACCGTGAAATTGCACAATGCGTGAAGCAACGTTTATGTTACCGGGAATCGGAACGGGGATGTGGGTCTGTGAAGTTGTTGGTCTCTGCGTTGCTGTATCAGATGGATATCGTCGATCAATGCCTGCGTCTCGATTGTTCGTGAACACCAGCGACGTCTTTGTGTTTGTCTCAACTCGATATTGTTTTAGTTATCTCTTTTTGTACTTTGCTAGCGAATTAGTTGACAATCCCGGGGCAATTCCGGTGTAGTTTGAAAGAAAAAAGTGCATTTCAACAGGAGAAGGTTGTCGCTAAGTTAGGCTTGTAATAGAGCGAGTAATTGAAGACTTGAGTTGACATTGACTGCACGGGTGGCTCCTGCAGGTCGCGGGATCCAATGGGTTCTCGGACTTCTCCGGTATCAAGAGCACCAGCGCTGTTACCTTCGGCAAGCGCTCCGAGGACCTCGCCTCCATTGTCTCGGCTCAGTCTGCTGTGGTATGTACCTATCTTTTAAGATAATGTTTCATTGTACTAATACAGCCACTTGCTCCAAAGCCATAATCGCTGACATTGCCGTACCGTGAATTGCAGTCCGCTAGCTCTGGAGCTAAGAGGGCCGTCACCGAGGCCAAGATCAAGGTCGCCATCAATGGATTCGGACGTATCGGACGCAACTTCGTCCGCTGCTGGCACGGCAGGAAGGATTCGCCCCTCGATGTCGTCGTCATCAACGACACCGGAGGTGTGAAGCAGGCCTCTCACTTGCTCAAGTACGACTCCATGCTCGGAACCTTCGACGCCGACGTCAAGGTTGAGGGCAACGACGCCATCAGCGTCGACGGCAAGGTTATCAAGGTGGTGTCCGACAGGAACCCACTCAACCTGCCCTGGGGGTAAGTGCCCATGTGGATTCTCTGGGTGTCATTGATTCTGACTTTGCACATGCCGCAGATGATGAAAGGAAATGCAAGAAGCTATTAGTGTCCATCGAGCAGGGAGGCATTTGTGGTTCCTAGTCCATGGCTGGGAGGGTCACATGAGTTAGTGGCGTGATGGAACTGACATTGATGATAATTGGCAGGGACATGGACATTGACCTCGTGATTGAGGGAACCGGAGTGTTTGTGGACGAGGCCGGTGCCGGAAAACACATCCAGGCCGGAGCCAAGAAGGTGTTGATCACCGCGCCCGGCAAGGGAGCCATCCCAACTTACGTGGTGGGAGTGAACGAGAAGGACTACAAGCACTCTGACAGCATCATCAGCAACGCATCGTGCACGACGAACTGCCTGGCACCGTTCGTGAAGGTATTGGACGAGAAGTTTGGGATCATCAAGGGCACCATGACGACGACCCACTCGTACACCGGTGATCAGAGGCTGTTGGATGCATCGCACCGTGACCTGAGAAGAGCGCGGGCCGCAGCTCTGAACATCGTGCCGACATCGACGGGAGCCGCGAAGGCGGTGGCGCTGGTGCTGCCCAACTTGAAGGGCAAGATCAACGGAATCGCGCTGCGTGTGCCGACGCCGAACGTGTCGGTGGTGGACTTGGTGGTGCAGGTGGAGAAGAAGACGTTTGCGGAGGAGGTGAACCAGGCATTCAGGGATGCGTGCGCGACGGAGGAGCTGAAGGGAGTGTTGGCGGTGTGCGACGAGCCATTGGTGTCGGTGGACTTCAGGTGCACGGACGTGTCGTCGACGGTGGACTCGTCGCTGACGATGGTGATGGGCGACGACATGGTGAAGGTGGTGGCGTGGTATGACAACGAGTGGGGATACTCGCAGAGGGTCGTGGACCTCGCCCACATTGTCGCCGAGAAGTGGCAATAGGTTTTCGTTGACACTTATAAAGGTTGTGGTTTCCTTGTGTAGCTGCTGGAGTATCCCGCAGATTCTGAAATCAAGTCTGCGACTCTTTCACATGCATAGCGTTGTATCATGCAAAGCGTCTGTAGAGTAGGTTGGGTGTAGAGAGAGGGAGGGGGGGATGTGTGTGCGTAGATGCGTTTTTCGCTTTCGCATGACTACAGACTCTTCCTCAAGGGTAGAGCATTGCGTTAATTCATTGAATTATGCCTATCATGTAATCATTCGTCGAAGTAATCTATCCTGCAATTTGTCTACAAAGAGATTCCGAATGGTTTCCGGGATTTTTTCTCTATATGTCTTAGTGTGTTGTTGCTGTAGGATCACGATTGTATGAGGATGCTTCCGCGCTGAGACCAAAGCGCTATTTCAATCTCATCTTTAACTAATGCACTATTTTGCAGAATTGTGCATATTTTAACCTCTGCCACTGTGTGCGAATACCATAATTGGTAGGATTGAGTTCTCAGCTTTCGTCGTTGATTGTGAGTGACTACACACACCAAACCTCACATGATTTGAAACGAAGTCTTTGCTAGAAACTAAGTAGCATTAGAGTCCAGCAGTGTTGTAATATGGTGTTGTGGGTGAATGGCATGAACTGCTCCTTGTCTGTTGAAAACAGCAAAGAAATGAATAATCAGTCGATAAATAATATGAGTTTTTTGACACAGTTGCGAAGCTGGGAGCGAATAACTCTTCTTCTGGAATTGTGACACAGCTCTGTCGAGAGGATCTACGGCTTAATTTCCATTGCCTCTACACAAAACTCATTTCAGTCAATCAATTGTTGATAATTTTTATTGAAGAAAAGATAGAGCTCCTTTGAGGTTTGTACACCTCTGAATCTATTTTTACTACGTAGTTTTGAGTCATAAAATCTTGGAAAATGAAGGGACAACAAATTTATGATTGTAAAATTGTTACTTAATTGTGGAAACACTGAAGTGCAACTTGAGTTTGCACTCATAAGAGGAATCAAAAATCAAAATTTTGAAACTTTGTGCTGGTTTACTTCGGAAAAGAAACTATATATATATATATATATATATATATATAAATGGTTTCGAATTTTACATAAAAATTCTTCTAGCCTTTTGTATTTGAATATTTTTTTTTTGAGGAAATCATGTTTATTGAAGCATTTATTGATTTTAAGAACTCAATGTTTTTATTCATAATGTCTTCTATTGATTCATTCTTTCTTTTCTTTTTTTACAACTAATTTAAAAGTAGCAAAATTTAAAAATCAATATACAACTGGTCTTTGCAAAATAAACATATTTCATACATTCTATTTATACCATTTATTTTTAATATTATATTACAAATATTAGTTTTTATTTTATTTTATGTTTGAATTTTTTGTTTTTAAATAATAAATTTTGATAATATATTTGTAAATAAAATCAATATAAGTTAAAATATACTTGAAAAATAGAACTAATATTATTGTAATTTCGTCTTTTTAATTTAACTTTAAAAATCATTTTTAAGCCAATTTTATTATATTAAGCTTCATTTCAAAAAAAAATCTATATATATATATATATATATATATATATATAAGATTTCTATTACTCAATTTTTAAACAATATTACAAATAATTTTTTATATATAAAGCAACACTTTTATAAGAAAATATGAAGAAGTATATTGCTATGGTAGAAATTTAATGAAACAAATACAAATGAGGTTGTTGGCTAGTTATAGAGGATTTTAGAGAACTAATTATTCAAAATAAATCTCCCATCTAAGCTTTTATATATTAGAAGTCTATGGTCTAATTATATTAGCTTTTTGGTGCAAATACACTAAAAATTAGTTCAACTATTGTCATATGGATATTTGACTTTTTAGGCCACATAACAACTTAATAGATTGTAGTGGCTGTAGATGCTATGGTAGCTATTCAACCATGTATTGACTATAGTTGACAATGTAAATTTAATTATCAACCATTGATATCATTCAATTAGCCATAAATCATTAACAACATTTCTAATACAAATTAATTATATAAATAAATATTCTTTTAATACTCCTACTTAATAACTTATTAAACAAATTAAAGTTTATGCTTTTGATTGTCTCCTTGAATTTTCAATGTGTCTTATTAGTTAGATCTTTGATTGGAATATGCACAACTATGTCTTAAGTTTTGCAAAATACTACGTCAACGTTGTGATCTTCTATTTTTTTATGAACAAAGTGATGTTGAATTTTAATATGCTCAATATAGGCATAAAATTTAAGATTTTTAGAAAGAAAAATTTAACCAATGATTATCATTAAAAAAATTATAATATTTTCTTGAAAAAAAATAATATATTTGAATAATTTGTAAAGCCATATTGCATATATAGTTGTATAAATAGTTGCTATATATTGTGCTACGATGGTAGAAAATGCAATTGTTTGTTATTTCTTGCTATTTCAATTGATTGTATGACTAGCCAATTCATATATATGTATGTATGTGCGTATATATATATATATATATATATATATATATATATATATATAATTGTATAATGTCAAGTATCAATTTCTCTCGCATAATGTGCATTGCAATATCTAATCACTTGCACTTTCAAAGAACTTTTACCATATTATACGACATCTATTTTATATGCCTTTGAATTATCAAAAAAAATTCTTAATAACTATCTAATATTTTGGCCTATGATTTGTCATGTATAAAATAAGAACTTCTTATTTATATGCAATATCAAGTCAAATACATATCAATGCATATATTAGATTGTACAATTTACTTTAATAAGATATATTCTTTATTTCTTTAATCTCTTTCTAAATATAACTACATATATCTTTTAATAATTTGTTGTTTGAATTCAAAGATGTAATCAATGATTTGTAATCTTCAAATATCTTCTTCAAGTGTGTGTATGTATATATATATATATATATATATATATATATATAATTTCTTATAATTTATATGTCTAAGATGTTGACGACTTTGGTCTACTATGCATTTGAAAAGTTATTTATATTTTAACATGCACCTCACAATTTTATTAATTTTTAATTCTTTCATTTTACAATTTTATCTAATTGAAGCATATTAGGCATCAAAAATTACCTTTTAATGTCACGTTACTTATAAAACTGCTAGAAGATATTGAATATATATTCATTATCATTGTTATTGTATAATTTTTGAATCTCTAAGTCCATTTGTTTTTAAACTAGAGCCTTAAAAATCTTAAATTAATCCAAGACTTCTAACTTTTTTTTTAATAAAATATACAAAAGTTCTCCTCAAAAAGTCATTAATTATTGTAACAAAATATCATATTGATCTTTAAGATGTTATCTTTATAGAAAAATTTACATCAAAATGTATTAATTTTAAGGTTATGAAAAAAAATTTAAGGTTTTGAAATCAAATTTAACATTGATACATATCTTGGTTTTATTATTTATTTTCAATGCTACATTAGAAGTTGATACTATATATTCTAACACTCTTACTTTGTTATTGGTCAAAATCTTTCAATCTTAATGATTTTATCAACGTGTAATGTCTATTCTTTACTAGTGCCATTGTCAACAAATTAGTAAGCATGTCTTTTGTTGTCATATTACATATATTCTTATTTAAGAATGTACTAGGCACCTAATTACAAAAGATAAGTAGAAATGCAACAACAATCCTACCAAATCTCATAGAGTCTTAAATAAAATTTAAAGAATCTTTAATATTCCTAGTCAACCTTTAATCAATCATAAATAAATTGAAAAGAAGTTACAAAAGAAATACAAAGAAGTTATAAATTAATTTCAAAAAAAAAAAAAAAAAAATCTTAAAGAAATGTAAAAAAAATCTTTAAAAAAAATACTAAAATAGAAACTTTTAAAAAATAATAAAAAATCTTTAAAAAATATTAAAATTAAAAATATTAAATAAATCTTAAACATATCTTAATCAAGCTCTAATTTGATTCTATTTAAAATTCTAATGAACCTTAACCAAATTTTAGATCAAATCTTAATTAAAATCTTAATTAAAATCTTAATGAACCTTAATCAAAACTTAGATTAAATCTTAATGAAATCCTAGTAAAATCCTAATTAAATCTTGGACAAATCTTAATAAAATCTTAGTTCAATCCTAAAAATTAAATCCTAAATCCTAGACCTAGTAAAATCATAAATTCTAATAAAATCCTAAATTTTAAATCAATCCAAATTAAATCCAAGAAAAACTCTAAATCTTAAATAAATCCTAAACAAACTCTAATAAAATCATAAATCCTAATATTTAATCAAATCTTAAATTAAATTCTAAACAAATCCTAATTAAATATTAAATATTAAATATTAAATCAATTTTAGTCAATCTTAAATCTTAAACAAGTTCTGAACAAACACTATGGTAGATTAAAAATTCAATAACTAATACTTGAATCATTAATTATAAGTCAAAAATTTCAAAGTATTTATTAACTATATTATTAAAAAAATATTTGAAAAAGATCATACATACCATTTGTAAGAAAAGCTCTCAAAACTTCTCACTTGTTGGTTGCCCTCCTTCTTCGATTTGAATATTAATCTTTCAACAAAAAAATTTCTTATTGAATTATTTAATTAATCCAAAATTTGGATTGTATATAGATATTCAAGTCTAAATTGATCTTACCAATTTTTGCTTCAAACAAACTTACAAATATTGCTACATTACAAAATCTCTTATTGATCCTAAATCTCAATTATTTTAGACCATAATCTACAAAAACTCTTGTATTCTTCAATCTTAGTGCTCAATTGATTTCAAATTTCTAACATATATTTATAATAAGCACTACAACAAATTATCAAATTTTTACTTATATACATATTATAAAATTCAAAAAAATCTTCAAATCAATAGACATATTTTTATTTTTTAAAATCTAAATCTATTAGGGACCATATTTAAGATAAGGATTCAAGACCAAGGAATGGAGTTAATTTGATATTAAAACAAAAACTAGATAGAAGGCCAGAAGGTCATGGCTAGACCACAAGAAGTGAGTTGTCAAGATTGAAGATCCCTTGAGCCTTGACTCCTATATATACATTAGGTCCTAAGAAGTTTCTTGAGAAGTTTTTATGAGGTTTGAAAACAAAGTAAGCCTAAGATCCTTCTTTAGCAACTTCTTAAATCATCTAAAGCCTCCTAGAACCTTTTAGGATCTCCTATGACCTTCTAGAACTTTCTTAGAATCTACTGAAACCTTTCAAAACCTTCTGGAACCTCCTAGAATCTTCATGAGCCTT